ACTGATCTTTTGTTTTTGTTTACATTACGCCTGATCTTAAATTTTAATTGGATAAAATTGGGGGTTGTTACAAATAAGACACGTAACAGGCTGTTACAATTAGATTTATCCTTTAAATAAAGAATTTAGTTAGTTTTAAATTATATGTAAATATTATATGAATATGAAATAATAGAATAAAAAATAACTTACCCTCTATAGTATTAATTTTTTAAGTAAAGAATTTAGTTAATTTAAATTATAAGTAAATATTATATAAATATGTAATAATAGAATTAAATAAATAACTTACGCCCTATATTAATAAATAATATTTTAAATAAAGAATTTAGTTAGGTTAAATGATATGTAAATATTATATAAATAAATAACCTATAACTTACAATCTAAAAGAAATTACAATATAATTTTTTTAAATAATATGTTAGTTTATATAAATATGTAATAATAGAATTAAATAAATAACTTACTCCCTATATTATTAAATAATATTTAAAATAAAGAATTAAGTTAGGTTAAATTATATGTAAATAAAGGTATAAATAAATAACCTATAACTTACCGTCTAAAAGAAATTATTTTAAATAAAGAATTTAGTTAGTTTTAAATTATATGCAAATATTATATGAATATGAAATAATAGAATTAAATGAATAAATTACTTACTCTCTATAGTATTAAATAATATTTTAAATAAAGAATTTAGTTAGTTTAAATTATATATAAATATTATATAAATGAGTAATAATAGAATCAAATAAATAACTTACGAACTATATTATTAAATAATTTTTCAAATAAAGAATTTAGTTAGTTTAAATTGTATGTAATATTATATAGATAACTAACCTATAACTTACCATCTAAAAAAAATTATTTTAAATAAAGAATTATAAGTTAGTTTAAATTATATTATATAAATATGTGATAATAGAATTAAATAAACAACTTACAATCTATATTATTAAATAATTTTTTAAATGAAGAATTTAGTTAGTTTAAATTATATGTAAATATTATATACTAATGGAATTACTTACGAGCTATTTTAATAAATAATTGAATTTAGTTAGTTTAAATTATATGTAAATATAAACATTTAATTATAGAATTAATATAAATTAATAATTTTATAACTTACTATCTAAAAGAAATTACCAAATAATTTTTTAAATAAAGAATTTATTTAGGTTATATTATATAAAGAATAGAAATATGGACTTACACCCTGTAGTATTATTAATTATTAATTAGTTAAATATGGATATAAGAGAATATACTGTAAATTAAATATATCACTTGCAATCTAATTATTTATGAAAAATATAATTAGTTGAGTTATACGAAATATTAAACAAATAAATATAGTTTTCAAATATTGTAACTTACCATCTGTGATATTAAATAGTTGATTAAACAAAGAATTTAGTTATTTGAATATTATGTGAAATAAAATAAAAAACTAAAGATTTAAATAACTGATAGCTTACAAACTATAATATTATTAATCATTAAACGAATTATTTGGTAATATGAAATATAACAAAAATAAGTATTCTCATTATTATTCAATTATAAGATAATCTATTAACTTACGAGCTAAATTATTATTTAATATATAATTGTTATATAATATAGTTAGTTTATATGTGTATATTATAAGGTATAATAATAGAAAATGATTAAATAAAAAGTTTAATATATCAGCTTGTTTAATATATTATATTTACCTTTGGATTCCTTGGTGCTAGTACTTCCTTCAAATTCTTCGGTACTATTTCCTCCAAATTCTTCAGTATTGGCCATTATTATAATTATATTAAAATTCTTCTTAACTGGAAAAGATAATGTAAAAAACTTTTTTTTTTACGTCTTTATTGATATGGGTATATATGGTAATAAATGCAAAAATGTTGATCACATGTACGACAAATTTTGCGCGTCCGGAATGGTTTGTCAATTATCAATTATTGAGCGTCGTTGCTGCGCGGACAGAGAAAATTTTCTTAATATAATATACCGATGGCATTAAGTAGATGTATCTTTGGCTACTTTGCAAGTTTACTTGGGTGGCAAAAGTAGTTTTGAATATATTTTTTGAAAAACCGCATCGAAAATGATCGGCAAAGACAATAATAGCCTTTATATATAGTCAGACCTCTACATACTAATTACCACATTCGAAGTGAAAATTATAGTATAATATAAAGTACTGATTATGCAATGTAAACTTATAGAGGTTTAAAATTAAATTTGTCCGTAGAACTACGAAACTGAATAAATAAATAAAATAATAATAATAAAAGTTGAAAATTAAAATATAAATAAACAAATGATAAAAATAAAAAAAAGCTTTAAGTTGCTTAAACCCAGAAAATTTTATGAGTATACAGTTTTTGTGATTTCGAATGGTTCGGTCATGATATATCAATAAATCATTAGTGCTGATCAAATACATCCGAAACCTAAAAAAATAAAAAATTTAAGATAGTTTGCAAAGTATAATTTTAAAAAATTATAAGCTAGAAATAATGAGTTATTAGAACTTACGTTTCAGCTTGTTATCATGTAATTTTTAAGATATTTTTTATGTTTTATTGTTCAATAAAATTTAGCCAAGTTTGTATAGATTTAAATACATCGCTCTCAAAGACATTTGTATTTGCACTTGTTCAGAATCATTTTCACTAATTTCATTTTCACCTGGATTAATGCATCTGCTAATAAAGCAGTGTAAGAATCCGATATTACATCAAGTTCTTTGATTATTTCATTGATATTTTCTATTTCATCATTCATTACTGTGTTCTGTCTTGTATTGGTTATATCTTCATTGGTTGAAGAAGGCAAAATTCCAGTTTTTTTCCAGCAATTGAAGATTGTTTCTTCAGTCACATTTTCCACGAATCTGCTGAACAATTAATAGCTTCTTTAGTAATGTCTTTTCCAAGTTTCAACGTATGGTGAAATATTTTCTCTTAAAATGATTTTTGAAACTTGCAATTATTTCGGCATCTAGAGATTGAAGATGGCTTGTTGTATAATAATGTTTAACCATAACTATTTGTTTTAAAAAAGTGCTAGAATGGTTGTAAAGAAAGAACTATTATTATTAACGCAAATTTCATTTAAAATTTCAGACTTTTTACTAAAAAAAAAATTAACGTTAAAATGTATCAAAAAAATGATATTCTTTTTTAAGAATGTAATTAAATATTATCAACTATTATTAACTTTTTTTATTTGAATTATCATCTTACGTAATTCAATTACGCTACGATAGATTTGAATCTTCATCATTAAAACAATTTATTTCTAAACGGTGAATTTATATAAAGATTATACAACAATTTAATGTTACTTATTCTTTATAAAATTTACTAAGAAATTAAATAATAAAATTTGTAGAAATTCATTAAATTTTAGTGATTTAAATTTTAATATACTCGAATTAAAAAATTAATAGGAGTCTTATGAGCTGAATCTTGGTTTCTTTTTCTTTTAACGACATTATGAAAAATCATACAGTATTTTGCAAAATGACATCAAATCTTTTATTATTGTTTTGTATAACATTTAATATTTCCCATTTGCACTTCATCTATCACGAAATTAAAATAGTTTGACTAGAATTCAATATCATATTAAGAACGTCAAGCAAGATATCATCGTTTCGAATAATATCCTATGATTATCTTTTCAGAAGTTATACACTAAACTCGTGGTTTCTTATTCGTTTTTTATAAATTCATGCCTGAATCATCTTTTCAGATAGATATCGTAAAATATTCACATAAGAAATAAATCATGATCTCCAAGTTGATATATCTGATATTACGTAAATGTTAACGATCCTTAAAATTTTTGTTAACCAAATTTGGATAAATTTGTTTGTGGATCAATGATAATTTTAATATTGATCTCGTGATATGATTACTAATCAAGTGACCCCTTTAAAAAGAATTTAGAAATTTCGAATTTGTTCCATTACACAAAAATTGCTTGTTATGAAAAAAAAAAACATCAAAATTTATTTGGGTTCTGATCCATATGGAAAAGAATTAAAAGATGTAGTAAAAAATCATTTAACATCTTTATCGACTAATGATCAATTTTCAAACTTAGAAATTGTTGATTTAGGAACACAAGACAAATATTATGATATTGCTTTTGAACTTGCGTCATTAGTTGGCGAAAGAAAAAAACTTGAAAATTCTGAAGAAGAAAAAAAAGGAATTTTAGTTTGTGGTACCGGAATGGTATGAATTTATTCATTTAAATAATTATTTAAATTTTTGTAAATTTTTTCTTTTTTTTTAATTTGAGAATTATTATTATTATTATTATTATTATTATTATTATTATTTGTAGGGAATGTCAATTATTGCGAATAAAGTTCCTGGAGTTTATGCTTCTCCATGTCAAGATGTTAAAACTGCTTTTGATTCTCGTGGAATTAATAATTCAAATGTTTTACAAACAATGATAATGCGAAGGAAATCATCGAAACTTGGCTTAAAACAAGTTTTACTAATGGATGGGAAGACAAACAGGATGTTAAAGTAAGTTCATAAAAATGTTCTTTGAAATTTGAAAACTATCACATATATCATATTATCATTTTTTTTTTTTTATAGGATTTCCTTGAAAATTCGATGAAAGAAATTCCAAAACTTATTAATAATCATTCACATATTCCTTATTCAACTCAAGCATTAAGTGGGGATGCAAATAATGAAGCTTCATTTGTTTCTATTCCTGGGTTGGACGAACGTTGTAAATGGTGCCTTTTAAGACAGGAACGACATGTAAACACTTCTGATAGTAATGATGATAGTATTGAAAGACTCAGAGCTGTTGTTAGATTTCCAAAGGGGTCTATGGAGCGTAAGTCTGTTATTTATTCTTTCTTAATCAAAAGAGTGGGAAGAATCAAAGAATGAGAGAATTATATCAAATCAACGAATTAACGAATTTCTCTCTTTTTTTTTAGCACCACATCATCATACTCATGGTCATGACGTTTTTGTTATTCGTGGTCATAAAACTGTTAAGAATCTTACAACAGGTGTTGATTATGAATTACGTCCTGGTGGTTATTTGTATACACCTGCTACTCAAATTCATCAAGTATTTTATCATGAAGATACTGAATATTGGTTTGGTAGTGATGAAGGTTTTGATATGATGTGGGATAGTGATGTTAAAAATATTGTTTTTGAGGAGGATCAAAAATAATTTACTTTTTGAAATTTTTTATGATATATTAAAAGAATTTTTTTTTTAATGTATTATCAATTATATTATTATTATAAGCAATATTGTAAATAAAAGTCGTTAGTTTATTGAAATTCCTAAGAATGCGAGGCTTTATTAATTTAAATTTTCACATGATGTAACGTTCGGTAATCGGTGTATTTCATCTGAACGTCAACAAGTATACGATTATACGTATATAGTTGTTAACTGTTTTATACTCGAAACATAAATTTTACGTTTTTATTCCCTATTTTAACGAGTGCAGATACAAATTTAACGTTATATGAACGTCTAAATTCCGAATATTATATTAGATAAAATGAGATATTAATATAAATTTGATAAAATATCTGCCAATGAGTTAATAATAAATATTATTTTTTTTAAAAAAATTGAAAAAGTCGTACCACACACATCAAAGTGATTATAATATTACAAATATGGAAATAATTAACATGAAAATACTTAAACATCGTTTAACGCATAATAGAGACGTAATCTTATAGTATTACTTTAATTAGGATCTGTTACGAAATCCCGAGTCCCGGTTCTTTGACAATCACAATTCCATCAGGCATCAAATCATATCCATGACAACCAAAATCTCACTATCCTAATATATATAATTATACTGATAATTTTAAATTACAATATTAACGGTAATTTTATATATTTTTTTTATTTTAGTATAAAATTATTTTTTAATTGTCAATTATAATCATTTTTTTTAATTACAATCTAAAAATTAAAATAAGGAATATGAAAATCATTGCTATGAGATTTGCAATCAATATTGGCATAATTTTTCAAGGCTGAATACAATTACCCTATTATTGATGATTGACCAGGAATACTTTGCAGTCTTGCGGTAGTATAGGCTGTGAACACTTTCAACATAACTTGGGACTGTGACCATTTACCATTTTACTGTAGCAGTTTAGCTAGTTATGCCGCTTTAAAATGATTACATAATTACCAAAAGGAAGAAGGGCTGAACCATGGACCTTATAAAAAAATTTTATCCGTTATTTCTGTAAAACTCAGTAAAAATGAACCTTTCCCGGATTCATTAACGGAAAATGAAAATAATTCGATAGATCCTGTGATAGAAGGTTATTAATTCCGGAAATATGAGCCTTTTACGAAAAAAAAATGGAATATAAAAAACGGATCAACTTTTTTTACAGGAAATGAACAAATTGATAATCTATTTCAATAAACGATGTAATATTTGAATGGATACCATGCCATCAGTTTAATAATACTAAACAACAAAACATATTCAGCAAGATGGAGGGATGGTCCATTAATGTATGATGACCGCACATATAAAAATGAATACATAAGATATTCAGAAAATAAACCAGTTATTTTAAAATATTTACTAGCTGATTCACAAAATATTACCAATGAATTTTTAAATAAATTATATAAAATTTTTTAAAATTAATTTCAATTATTTTTTATTGTATTTATATATATATATTTTTAGTAGATTATAAACAAATATAAGGGTTATCACAAAATCCTATTACATAAATATGTAAATACAGAATACGAATGGTGTAAGTCATGTCAAAAAAGTTATTTAAAAAACAACACAAATTGGACCAGTAAAAATAAGCAAATTGATAAATTATTAATGACTATGGATGATACAATATTTGAAAGGATACCATATAATCAGTTTAATGATATTAAAGAATTAAGTAATACAACACATTCATAGGGATTGGAATCGATTATCATTATTAGAATCGATTTTAGAATCGATTAATCGTCGATTAATCGTTAATCGAAATTATACTACTTTCGGTCACGTGACTATTAAATTTATTAAGATCGGCATAAAAATATCCTTTTTGGGAATTTTGTACAACATAACTTGAATTTCATTGGACAACAAAATTTCCTTTTTTGGAATTTTGTTAATGTCACGTGACAACGACCTAACTTCTTATTAACGGACTACCCCAAAATGTCACGAAACGGCCGGCATTAAGAAATTAAGAAATTAACTATGTGACAAATAATGTGTGACAAATAGGTTTTTGTCAACCGAAATAAAACTAATACTTGTAGGGAAATCTTATTAACGCTACTGCGCCACTATAAGTAAATTTGATTTTTATTCGATAATCGATTTAAAATCGATTCTTATCGATTTTCGATAAATTCGATTATTGTAAAATCGATTCCAATCCCTACACATTCAGCAAGATGAAAAGTTGGTCCAATTATTATATCATTTTAAAAATGAGTATATTAGAGATTAAGCAAATAAAACAGTTATTTTAAAATATTTATTTGTTTTCAAAATATTACTGATGAATTATTAAATAAGGTATGCAAATTTTATTTTTAAACTTAATTTGGATTATTTTTTATTATATTAACACTTTTTAATAGATTATAGAACATTATAATAAATTTCAAATATATGGATAGAATCCTACTAGTATAAAGAACAATTACATTATTGAAGATAAATATTTTAAATTTTTTGTGATAAATGTGGTAATAAATATACAAATATGGAATAAATGGTGTAAAGTATGTCAAAAGAATTATTTGAAAGAAACTTGACAAACTGGACTAGTAATAGTAACAAATTGATAAATTAATTCAAGGAATGCAATTAAAATAACTGAAAGTTAAGTTAATGATTATAAAGACATTATATTTAATAGATACCATATAATTAATTTAATGACATTAAAGAAATAGGTAAAGGTGGTTTTGCTAAAGTATATTCAGAAAAATGGAGGAATGGTCCATTATATTGGAATAAAAAGAATACAAAAGAGATAAAAGAAATTTAAACAAAATAGTGGCTTTAAAATGTTTAAATAATTCTCAAAATATTTCTAATAAATTTTAAATGGAAGAAATGATGAGATCATTAGATAATTATGTTTGAAACGAGAAAGTAAATATTATCTTTTCACACTATTTTATTCATAAAAATAACCAAATAAAAAATTATTTATTAAAAAAGGGCAAAAAAGGCTCTATATGTATGTTGCTGCAAATCCCAAAATAATTTTGTTAAAATATACAATTATTCAAATTTAAATATAATAATATGTAATTTATTATAAGTTTTTCTAACTTAGATAAACTGAACCAAACTATTATTGTAGTTAAAAATTGTCTACCATAAAAATAATGGTTTTCTACAATAATTGTATGTTATTGAACGGGGCGTCAAAATATCGGCCGAAGGCCGATATAGCCCCGTTCAATAACAATATTATTATACGTGATATTAGGATTAGTGCGTGTGCTAATATAATTATATTGTCGATCATCATTAAAAATATCGGGCATGATAACAAAAATATCGGTACAATGAATTCCGCACAATCCTAATGAGCGTGTAATAATTGATATTAAATTATGAAATTATGATGTGTAGTATATGATAATAGATTTATTTCTACAAAATCAACAAACAAACCGTAAATAATGAGAGCATGTAAATAATTAAAATAAACTAATCCATTTTCGTAACTCAAAATATTTATAAATTAAACTGAAATTTTATTAAATGATCACAAACCCGCAGTAGTTAATGTGTGCAGTAACACCCGCAGATTTCTAAGTTAAGTTGCAAACTTGCAATGTTTCTGATTATAGAAATTGATCATCATAAAATAATATAAAAAGTGTTCGTACTCCAAACTTAAATTTCCACTGCATTTCTTACTTATTCTCATTAAAAATTAAATACAATGTCTTCAAAATTCTTGGCAGAATTATCTAACGATTACGAAAAACTTTTTGAGACAGAAATGGGATATGACGTTATTATTTATGCCGGTGAAGATCAATATCATGTTAAGGAAATCCATGCTCATTCAAATATTTTATCTATTAGGTCTCAATACTTTCGCTCCGCATTTTCTAATGAATGGGCTGAGAAAAAAGATGGAAAATTTATTTTCAAAAAGCCTAACATTTCTCCACAATTATTTAATATTATTCTTAGGTACTATTTATAATATGTATAATAATTTATATGTTAAAGGAAAGGAACTTCTAAATTAATATTATATTATTGCACATTAGGTTTATTTATTGTGGAAATATTGAATTAAAGAATTTACAAGGTCCTGATGTATTGAAATTGTTAATTGCAGTTGATGAACTCAATATTCATTCTTTGGTTTCTCATATTCAAGAATTTTTGATTGAACATCAAACTGAATTTTTATATCAAAATCCAACTGAAATTCTTGAAACTGTTTATCAACATGAAACATTTACAGATTTATGGAATTTCTGCCTTGAAAAAATTTGTGATGAACCTAAAGTTTTATTCAATTCTGATAAATTTATTGATTTAAAAGCTCCTTTATTAGAATTATTGTTAAAAAGAGATGATTTAAATATGGATGAAATTGAAATTTAGGAAAATTTGTTAAAATGGTGTTTTTCTCAACAAAATATGAAGAATGAACCATTTAAATGGAATAAAGAAGATATTACAAAGATTGAGAGGGCATTGTACAGATTTATTCCTGTAATTCGATTTTATGATATTGAACCTACAGACTTCTTTTATAAAGTTTATTGTTATAAAGATATCTTACCATACGATTTAATACATGATCTCTTGGAATTTCATATAGTTCCTAATATTAAGCCTAAATCTAATTTAACACCTTCAAGAAAACCAAATTTTAAATATCAACTTGATTCAACCTTGATTGGATCGAACTATATTCCTATTTTTGCTTCATGGGTTGATAAAATGGATTCTTCATACTATAATAGAAAAAATATTCCTTATGACTTTAAATTATTGAACCGCTCAAGTCAAGATGGAAATAATATTTCATCTTTTCATAAAAATTGTGTTAATAAAGGAGCCACTATTTGGATTGGAAAAATTAAAAATTCTGCACAATTAATTGGTGGATATAATCCACTTGATTGGGATCAAAGTTTCTCTTGGAAAACTACAGCAGATAGTTTTTTATTTAATTTTACAAATGGAAAAGATTTTTCCACTGCAAAAAGAAGTTATGTTAGTATGCAGAATATGGCTGTTTATTGTAGTCCCAATCATGGAACAACTATGGGTAATTTACAACATTATAAAAATAGTTGGTCTTATAATAATTCTGATAATGGAAATCGTTATCCTAAAATAGGGATCCCAGAAAATTTTGAAGTAGAAGATTATGAAGTATTTCAAGTAATTAAAAAATGAAAATAAAAGTTTATAAATATTTGTTTCATCTTCTAATACCATTTTATATTCATTAAAAGCGAGATTGTTTTTCAATTTGATATTATAAAGTAATTGAGTTCATAATAATAATTAAATGTATGGACGTACTGTAATTATAATGCGATTTTAAGTGAGTAATATTAAATGTTATACTCAAATTAAACTCTAAATAAATTACAAAATTACCAATTTCAGAAAAAATAATTTGATATTAAAATGATTCACCAAACGCTAAATGTCCACAGTTTGTTATTTTAATGGATATTATTTTAACAATTTCCTGGCTAAATTTATTGTTATTTTCCAACGATTGAAGTTTATGTGAATAAAATCAAAGCAACTTTTAAACAATTTTTCACAGTTGATTCAAAATTAACATAATAAATTAAATCTATCTAAATAACCAAACTATTGCAAAAAAAAATAAATTAATTAAACCTGCATAATAAAGAAAAAATTGCCTACCTACTTATTTTGAATTTGAATCAAAATTTTGTGATCCCCTTTGTCTGTAACTTTTATCTTAAATCCTCTATACTGATCTCCGAAGGTATCTTTTATTTTATGAATAATATACTAATTAAATATATTAATGAAATTATTAAAACAAATTGACAAATAAGTTTTATAACTCAGAAATTTTGAATTTTAATGAAGAAAATTCAAAATTATAGTAATTTATCAATTCACTCGTTAATTTTGTTAAGTACCTTCCCTTTAATTGATGCCATAACAACTGAACTACATACTGTACATAACTTGAAGAAAATCTTAAAATACTTTAATTTAAATATTATTACAAAAAAAAAGAGAAGTGATTTAATGAAGTATCTAAACCAACTGACATTCAATTCCTTACTCATGTTTATATTTTTGATAAATATCTCGAAAAAAGCATTGAAACACCTAATAAATTTTAGCCTATTGCGAGTTAATTTCGAAAGATAATGAATTTTAATTTTCACTTTTTCTCGATTTGTTCATAATTTATGATCCGTTGATATAAAGAATGAATATGTAAAAATAACTTATAAATGATCATATTTAAATAATACAAAAGCCAAAAATTAGAAATATTATTAGTATTATATTGATTGACTTGAAATGGTATTAGGGAATATGGATATAGGGATTTATTAGTTTTGATAACATACAAAAGTAAAGAAAATAATGGCAGTATCATTAAGTAGAAATAGTGGTTTGATCCATGACCAGATGAACCTGGGTAATTTTATTTTTCCAGATATCTGGATAATTGCGGTTTTTATCCAGATAAATATCCGGTTAAAAATATCCGGATTTGACCTGGAATCTGGATAATAAAATTTTTTTAAAAAAAATCGATTTTGGGCCACCATAATAGTAATAGCGCAGCAATTTTGATGATAACAAATTCAACGGAAAATCTTTTGTACTTTATTTTCCATTATTATGCTTCAATTAGTTTGATTGGCTTTATATTTATTGTAATATATTTATTGTGTATAACATCTAAAAATAATTTACATTTTTTCAAATTTTCGTGTAATGCTGGCCAAAATTATAATTTAACTTGAATGCACTATTTAATTTCGTAATTTTAATTATGGGTATAAAGCTCACCAGTGGTGATAGTTATCAGACCAACATTATGATATGCTTTGGCCAGAATTAAAAATCTAATAAAATATTGGCCGTCATTACATCATAAATAAATTCACAACTAGTAACCGTCACTACTGGTGATATTTAGTAATATCATACCCATTAATTATTATATATTTTATTTAACTACAATCCTATCCGGATTTCGGTTTCTATCCGGATCAAAATACTAAAGTAGAAAATTTTATGACAGTATAGCTATATATGGTTTGACTTATGCAGAACAACGTTATACAATCCCAGTAAAAAGTTCTTGTACCAAATATAGGCCAATTATGAAATGAGCCCATTCGGTATAAAATTTGGCCATATTTATTTTAATTTTATCCCATTTATGGTCCAATTTTTTATACCAAACGGGCTCATGTATAAATTCAATACAAACCTAATATGAATTCAGTACAGGACTTTTTACTGGGAATGGGATATAGATAAACATTAAAGTACTATTCAAACTGAACTTTCCGTTGTATTATGGTCGCTAACAGAAAATTCTATATTTTATTCAACAATTCATTATATAAAAATTTGAAAAACTATAAATATATCACATTTTTAATATTTGTTCATACTGTAATATCATAAAATGGAACTTGTAAAATTAAATGATCATGAAAATTTTTTTGATCCAACACCAAAATTAAAATCCAGTCTCGTACCAATTTTTTTTGTTTCTTTTAATTGGATGATAATTATTGTATTCATTGTACATAACAACGACTATTTATGCTCAAAAATATTGTAAAAAATCTTTATTGTATTATTTAACTAATATATAACTGATTGGACATATACTTATTCACAAAAAAGTTAGAATGTAAATATTATATTATAAACCAAATACTCAGTGATAGTTATAATTTGAATCCTTTCATAATTAAAAACGTGATTGAAAGTGAAAAATATTGTAAACTATGTGGAAAATTACAATACCAAGGAACAGACCAGATATTATTAAAATCTCTCTTGGTTGTGTAGAATCAACCTTAATTAAAAAGCCTATTTCAATTATCTATTTGACATGGTGAGAAAAAAACCTTATTGTTATTGTTATGAAAATTAGTATTTACATCAGACTGTCAAAAATATTTTGAAAATTGTTTCACATTTTTCATTGGACGTAGATATTGTTTAACAATAAACATTATTTTTATTATTTTTGGAATCAACTATTATTTTTGATACCATAAAGATTATTAGTATTAACAGCGAGAATAGTGTTTTAGATGATTTTCACGTTAATAAGATGATCATATCAATTTGAAATAAAATACGAGTTAAAAAATATTGATAAGTGTTTCATTTTATCAGATAGTATACGTCATTTTCCTTTATATGTTCCAGGAAAATTTATATAATATATACCATATTCTCAATTTACAAATATAAAAGAAATAGCAAAAGGAAGGATTTAGTAGTATTATTTATCAAGCAACTTTGTTAGATAGTTCAATATACAAAGAACATCATTATGTAATAATGTATGATACGGTTGTCATTTTAAAAAGATTTAAAATCATCAACTGAATATGCTAAAAAATATTTATGAATGGATAAATTATAATTGTAAAATTGGAGATTTAGGATTATCTCGACCTGCAAATGATACCTCATCGGATAATGGAATTTATGGAGTAATACTACCTTATATTGCACCAGAAATATTTAAAGGGTCTGCATTTTCAAAAGAATCTGATGTTTATAATTTGGGTATGATTATGTGGGAACTTACGACAGGCTGTAAGCCATTTGCTAACGTTAAAGATAATATTCATCTGATTATACAAATTATTGATGGAGAGCGGCCTGAAATCATTACAGAAGATACACTGGAATGTTATGCTAATTTAATGAAAAGTTGTTGGGACCCTGATCCCCCGAAAAGGCCTTCTATAAGTGACATTAATAATATTTGTGAAAACATTGTATTGTGATAATCAATTTTATCAAGCTGAACTTAGAAGGAAAAAGTTAATAAATTCAAAGAAGCTTGGTCACAATTTTATTGAAAAGCCGAAAAGCCTCATCCAAAAGCTATTATTTATACAAGCAGATCATTAAATTCTTAATGTTCATCTATCAACTTTTTTATCAAATGGTATGTATGTATTATACTATTTTAATAAAAGTTAACTTTGAATAATTAAATTAAATATAGTTTTTTTTTTCTAGATTACAATTCAAAAGAACTTGAATTTGACATAGACATTGAAAAGTATTCAAAGTTAAAAAATATTTATTAAATTATTTATAATTCAAATCCAATAATTCAAAATAAAATCTTCAAAAAATACAATTTTATATTAAAACTGAATCCAACGTTCTTAGAACCAGGCGAATTAAACATTAATTCATGTGAAAGTAATGGTACATATTCTATTTGATTAAATTTATAATGTTTATATTTTATTTACTTATTTATCCATTTTTTTTTTAAATTTAAATATAGGAAAATACATTAAAATTAGTACCAATTATTAAAGGAATTCTTTCACAAACTGAAACGATAACATTTGTCCGGTTATCCGTATTATATTTGATTTTTAATCCAGTATTTTAATTTTAATTTGTGTATGCATATTTTTTTATTTCGTATTATTATTTAATTAGCTTTGGTGTTTTTTGCAAAGTGAGATTTAATTATCACAGCTGAGATCATAAATAGATATTTGAAAAACTGAATGTGTATTTTGTAAACTCTTAACGACCTAACCCAAATCTTAGTCCGGAGCTTAGCGAAGGACTATGTGTTTAGATGAGGTGGTGCAAAAATGTCCCGTTGTCTCGCTCATCCTTTGAGTCGATGTAATTGCTTCTTTCATAAATAACAAATACTCTACCTATTTTGGGTTATATTTTTTAGCTTTTCAATATAAAGTTTTTAACGCATTCAAACTATTATCTTTATAAAATGCTATAGCAAGTATGAAACAAAATAATTATTTGTGCAAATTGTGAAATAGATTAAAGTGAATCAAAAAATAAATTAAATACATCAGTTTGCCTTTTTTATCTTTGTTGACCCTTCATGTTGTTGTATCATTTCCAACGTGATAAGCTCCAACGGTTATCGTTTTCCTAGTATAATAAACTTTTGGGTGAATTTATTTGGGTAAGATTTGATATTACTACTCACCCCAAAAATGCCAAAAATAATCTTTATACTTTTGTTAAATGGTTGAAGTAAATTTTGTAGGACAGATAAAATTATCTTTTGGAGCTTGTATTAAGTTTTATTTTAAAAAAAAAAAAAAAAGAAAGAAAAAATTTCGTCAAAAATTGTCAGTAATCGGCATGACGTCATAAATTTAGGGTGATAACTTTTTCCTAAACGGTTAAAGAAATTCATATGCAATTTGGTAAACATATACCTGCCCAATTCAAGTATATTATATAAGTGTCAATTAAATTGTTTATATTTTAAGTTACTTTAAAAATCAAAATAATGATTTGATACTTTTGTAACAGTCATGTGTACGTACATCACATGATCATTAATTATTCCAATTTTCATTGCTAATACAGTTTATCGAAATATTATTTTGTTAATTAATGAAAAAAACTTAGTTTGTATTACTAATGATTTTTCATTTTTCAGTCATGCGGTTATCCAAACAAAGTATTATTATTTGTGTTTAGGCTGAATTTTTATCTATTACGTCAAATTTAAATTAATAAGCAATCTTGATATTTTATTAGATATATAATTGTGACTTTAATTTAAATGAATTGAATCATTGCAACAGATTTAGTGAGAAATTTTTTTGTTCATGATAAATTTATAAATATTAAATCATTTTTAGGAATGGACCTGATCCAGTTTCAAGTACGAAGGACTATATAATTTTATAAAAGGTGAAACAAATATCTGCATGTTACATTATTAATTTAATTAACTCTGTGACTAATTATTGAAACATATTTATTACACAATATTAATCAGTATAAGTTGTATTAATTGTGCGACAATATCGGAATCATATATAATTTACCCATTTCAATATTTGATACTTCCCATTTGATATTTACAACATGTCATGTTCAAATGTATTTTTAGGAGATTTACCTGAATTATCTTATGATGTCATAAATTATTCTAAGAATCAACTTTATACCATGTATTTTAGTTAATAAATTATGGTGTCGTCTAGTGATTCCATTATTATGGGAAAATCTTCCTATCCAGAATTATAGATTTATCGAAATTTACTTGCATAATTTAAATGATGATTTTAAAACGAAATTAAATGAATATAAAATTATTAATATTATTTAAGAATATACTGTTTAATTATCCAAAGTTTTTTAGATATTTGAATATAAATAAGTTTATTTCCTCTATTAAACAGTGGTTGGCTGATGCTAATATTAATACAAAATCTAAGAATTTCAGGAGCTTAATTCAAAGGTCACTATTTAAAATTTTTATTAAAAATGAGTAAATTTACATACTCTTGAAATTTAAGATCTCAATGACTAATTATACTAATGATATTCTTGAGTTAATTTTACAAAATCAAAATTTCATTCACAATGTTAGAAATTTGAAACTTCTTATTGATGAAAATACGAGAATTTATAATCTTACATCACAAATGATTCATTTACATCAAAATCTTAAGAAAATTTTGATAAGTAATGATATATATTTATATCAATTATCATTGTTATTATCGAAAGATTATAATTGTTCAAATACCTTAAATACAATCATTTTCTATCACGTCGAATTTAAATTAGTAAACAATCTTGGCGAAATATTTGAACAATCAAATGTTTTAGAATCCGTTCATATTTTTTTTTGTTCTTTCTTGAATAGTAACCTTACTCAACAAATTATTAATTTAACAAAACCATTTAAATTAAAATCTTTATTTATTGTAATTGAGAAATCACAAATTGAAGCAGCACAACAATCATTACAAATATCTGGTGATTATTTAGAAAATTTCTGGTTTTCCTATAATGCATCAATAAATCAACAATTATTAAAATATTGTAAGAATATCAAATTACTTTATTTTGGTATGTATGAAAAATAGTTTACTTATCAAATAATCAATTCAATTGAAAATATTAAACAAAATCTTAGTTCAATCGGAAATGATCATTTAACAAATTGTAGTTCAATCATATTACAAAACCTAGGACATCTAAATTAGGTTACGTAAGCTTGAATCTTCCTATTAAAAAAAGTGATTTTAAAATATTCTTAGAAAATTCTCAAGATATTCTCATTAATAAATTATTAATAATAATACAAAGTTGTAGTGATGATATTTTACATTGCATAAAGGAACATATTATGAAGAAAAAAAGAGCCAAGTATTTGGATATTCGGGATGATATTAAAAATAAAGAATTGTTTGATTTGAAAGATGAAGTGAAAGAAAAGAATTTGAAATATATAATATTAAAGTTCGAAATGATTTAGTTATTATGGATCATACCTTTGTAAATAATATTTACAATATTGATTAGTTAAAGAATATTTGATTAGTAGTTATTGTTATAAAGATGAATAATCATATTTAATATTTGTAAAAACCATTACAACTGATTAATTAAAGTTCTTGATAAGTTTACTTTTCTAAAAAAAAAAATTAATTCTAGAGACTTAATGAGAAATTTTTTTTGTTCATGACAAATTATAAATATTAAATCCATTTCCAGAAATGGACTGGATCAATAAAGGGCATAATTCAATTTGCCAATTCAGGGTATTTTGTATGGATCATGGGAAAATTTACCGGAATTAGTTATACCCGGGTATATTATAATGGTACGCTGTGTCTTTTAGTCAGTACTATACGGTGGTCTTTATGATATTGATACATCATTCATTTGTAATAAGGTTTCTAAAAATAGAGCTACTAGTAGTACACAAATAATTTTAAGAATTCTAGTTTAATTGGCCTATTACTTTCGATGTTAAACTTATACAAACTAATTGTAATATTTATAGTTGGTATTTTGAATAAATTACTCCAATCAATATTATTTTGATTATAATATGTAATCCATTTAAATTGTTGTTAATTATTTTATAAATTTAATATTCCTGAAATATCGGTATCATGAGGTGAAAATATTAGATATTTAGGATTTGGACAATTTTGATAAAATAACCAGAATCATTCTTTTCATCATAAAGTTCTATATAACAAGTGATCCATTTGTATTTTAAATTAAATTTATTAAATAGTTGACAGGAAATTTATCAAGTTTTAAAATTGTAAAGAAGGAAATGATAAATATTCTAAACTCTTCTATTTACTTATTATCTTACAACAATTCTAATCCTGTCAATTTCAGTAATAAATGAATTATCTAAATCTCATAAAATATTGAATATTATTTAAAAGTTTAATCAAAAATATTACGAAACAGTTCATTTTGCGGCTATCAATAATAATAAATTTCAAAATAAACATTAACTAATCCTCAATTTCCCATAATTGTTATTAGACCTTTCAAATAAAATATAAAAGCATCAACTCTAATTGAATTAATTACATACTTTTGTTAATCTAACTAAAATATAAACTAAAATTGGACGTATAAGAGCACGATTATACAGCCCTCGCAACATATATTATTCGCATTAGGTAGTACAGAAGAATTGAACATTCAATACATTAATAAATTATAAACCTTATTATTTATTACAAAGAGTTTTTATAATTAAGATCTAATTCGTGATCCCATAGTATAGTAGTTAATCTGGTTCTCTTGGGAACTAATCAAAATTGATTTATGAATTGATAAAATTAATTTCTTCATATTATAATAAATATTTCTTATAATTTTAAATTATTATGTGTTTAAATAAGTCAATAGCAAATTTTACAGCGAACCCGTGAAAGAGTGTACGATCAATTATGGAATTTTCAAGTTAATCGAAAAATGAAATTATATAACTAGTAATATTGTGATTTGATACAAATATTAGATTTAGATTTCTTTATAGATTCAATCTCTTAAAAAAGATTATGTATTTAATTAAGCCATCATATAGATTTATTCACTATCCTTAAGGCTTTATCGTTTTAAGCATTACCATATCACTACTACTATTATATACGTTTTTTGTCAAATTTTTCATACAATAATAGAACTTACGATAATAATCTTATAATGTAATTATCAATATTGCTCTAACATTTGTTAAAATGTAATCTTTGAAATATAATTATAATCCGAATAGATGAAATCTGATTCCTAGGCATTTATGACGTTTTCTAGAAATATTTCATATTTTAATTTAAAAAGCTATGGATAATCTCTATCTGTAAAGGATATCCATATTAAATTTTAAAAAAACTCACCATATAAGTAAATAACAATAGACGAAATAAAATAGGGATATACGAGACTTTAATGACCAATATTTTTATGAGACATCCAATATCAAAATCAAGTTTTAATGGAATTAATTCCTATTTGTCGCCGCAGTATTTATAATGATCGAACTATTGATTCAGTTATTAAGATAATCGAAGATTTATATCTATATTCTCTCATCCAACAACTATTTATTTCTTGATATTTTCACAATATAATCTACCTACAATTTATTTAATGATCATTGTATAAAAGACAATCTTTTGCTTGATAAGGAGATTTACATGTCATATTATTTATTACTATATCAATATTGTTTAGTCATCTAATGAATTGATGGCTTTGAATACATCTCCAACATGAACAAAAAATTTACTGCCATTTTCAAAATGAACGAAATCGTTTAAATTCGCGTTTATTATTTTCAAATAAAAAAAAGGAATGACGTGTTAAAAAGTATAAATGAGAAAACAAACAATGAATCCTTTGGTACTAATTAACAAGAACTGAAATAATGCTGTGTTTAATCTGAGATGAGTTTATCATCTGATATTACAAAGTTAAACAAACATTCAATATAGATTGTACCAAAATAGACGAATACTATAGTACATGTTTAGATATAAACTTAATTGTTTATAATATCAAATTTAGACTCTAATTAACACGAATATTGCTTAAGTGCACAAAAATGGTTATTGTTAAATTCTTTTTCATTCATAAATTTAATCTTTTTTTTAATTATTTTTTAATTACTTGAAATACTTCATAATCTTCTACTTCAAAATTCTCTGGGATCCCTATTTTAGAATAACGATTTCCATTATCTTGATTATTATAAGACCAAATATTATTATAACAGATTAAATTACCCATAGTTGGTCCATGACTAGAACCACAAAAAACAGCCAAACTCTGTATACTAACATAACTTCTTTTTGCAGTAGAAATATCTTTTCCATTTGTAAAATTAAATAAAAAACTATCTGCTGTAGTTTTCCAAGAGAAACTTTGATCCCAATCAAGTGGATTATATCCACCAATTAATTGTGTAGAATTTTTAATTTTTGCGATCCAAATAGTAGCTCCTTTATTGTCACAATTTCTATGAAAAGATGAAGTATCATTTCCATCTTGACTTGCACGATATAATAAATTAAGATCATATGGAATATTTTTTCTATTATAATGTGAAGAATCCATTTTATCAATCCATGAAGCAAAAATAGAAACATGGTTTGATTCAATCAAGGTTGAATTAAGTTGATATTTAAAATTTGGTTTTCTTGGTGTCAAATTAGTTTTAGGTTTCATATTAGGAACTATATAAAATTCTAAAAGATTATGAATTAAATCTTGTGGTAAGATATCTTTATAACAATAAACTTTATAAAAGAAATCTGTAGGTTCAATATCATAAAATCGAATTAATGGAATAAATCTTTATAATGCTCTCTTTATCTTTGTAATATCTTCTTTATTCCATTTTTATGGTTTATTCTTCATATTTTGTTGAGTAAAACACCATTTTAACAAATTTTCCCAAATTTCAATTTCATCCATATTTAAATCATCTCTTTTTAACAATAATTCTAATAAAGGAGCTTTTAAATTAATAAATTTATCAGAATTGAATAGAACTTCAGGTTCTTCACAAATTTTTTCAAGACAGAAATTCCATAAATCTGTAAATGTTTCATGTTGATAAACAGTTTCAAGAATTTCAGTTGGATTTTGATATAAAAATTCAGTTTGGTGTTCAATCAAAAATTCTTGAATATGAGAAACCAAAGAATGAATATTGAGTTCATCAACTGCAATTAACAATTTCAATACATCAGAACCTTGTAAATTCTTTAATTCAATACTTCCACAATAAATAAACCTAATGTACAATGATATAATATTAATTAGACTTTCCTTTTATAACATAAATTTATTATAAACATTTTAAATACCTAAGAATAATATTAAATAATTGTGGTGAGATGTTAGGTTTTCTGAAAATAAATTTTCCATCTTTTTTCTCAGCCCATTCATTGAAAAAAGCAGAGCGAAAGTATTGAGACCTAATGCACAAAATATTTGAATGAGCATGAATTTCCTTAACATATTGCTCTTCACCAGCATAAATAATAACGTCATATCCAATTTCTGTCTTAAAAAGTTTTTCGTAATCATTAGATAATTCTGCCAAGAATTTTGAAGACATTGTTTTTAATGTTAAGTAAGAAATGCAGGAAATGCAGTTAAAATTAAGGTTTGGGTACAAACACTTTTTATATTATTTTATGATGATCAATTTCTACAACCGGAAATATTGCAGTTCCATAATAGTCCTAGTACAGTCAACTCTTAATATAACGAAGTTGGCGTCCGGGTTGATCAGGCTTTCGTTATAGGAATATTCGTTAATATGATGGGAAAATCTGGTATAACCCAGAAAATTTTTGTATATTATGGTATATTGTCGTATAATAATTGTATCTTATAATGCAAAAATGCAAGTTACACAAAATATCTTCATTATATTGAAAAAAAATTCGTTATGAAAGAAAATTCATTATTAAAAGGGGCATTTTTCATATATGGTTTATAAAATTTACTTCGTTAAATGGTATACAGCATTTAATTAGTAAAATTCAGTATAATGAGATTTTTTTCATATGTTAAAATCTGTACCATACTGAAGATCCGTTATATTGTAAAATTCGTTATATCAAAATTCGTTATAAGAAGAGTTGACTGTACTACTAATTAACATAGAAATTTGCAGTACTGACTTTGGAATATCATTTCGGTTGCTATGGTTGCTACTGCGCATTACTGGTGACATTAACTACTGCAGATTTGTGATCATTCAATAAAATTATTCTGAGTTACAAAAATAGATTTATTTGCAGAAATAATTATCTACATTATTATTTATATCATTGTAAAATGTGCTTGTTATTTTGATGAAAGATAATTTTTAGACACACAATCAGTTGTTCAGTTTAATTTAAATCATTAAAATTACATTATTTATTATATATTGTTACATTTATGAATGTTTAAAATTTTCACGCAATTTTCATAATGGAGCATCTCAATTTTAGATTTAATTAGTTTTTTTTAACATAAAGAAAATTTTGATTGTAAAAATTTTAATTAATTAACAAAAAGCACAAATATTGATATTTTTTTATCTTTTAATTACTTGAAATACTTCATAATCTTCTACCTCAAATTTTGCTGGGATCCCTATTTTAGGATAACGATTTCCATTATCATTATTATTATAAGACCAAGCATCATTAAGACAGTATAAATTACCCATAGTTGGTCCATGACTATCTCCACAAAAAAAAGCCCTATTCTGCATACTAACATAACTTACTTTTGCAGTAGAAACATTTTTTCCATTTGTAAAATTAAATAAAAACTATCTGCTGTATTTTTCCAAGACCAACTTTGATCTCAATTGAGTGGATTATACCCACCAATTAATTGTGTGGAATTTTTAATTCTTGCGATCCAAATAGTAGCTCCTTTATTGTCACAATTTCTATGAAAAGATAAAGTATTATTTCCATCTTGACTTGATCGATGTAATAATTTAAAATCATAAGGGATATTTTTTCTATTATAATGTGAAGAATCTTTTTTATCAATCCATGAAGCAAAAATGGGAACATAGTCTGATTCAATCAAAGTTGAATCAAGTTGATATTTAAAATTCGGTTTTCTTGGTGCTAAATTAGTTTTAGGTTTCATGTTAGGAACTATATAAAATTCTAAAAGATTATGAATTAAATCTTGTGGTAGGATATCTTTATAACAACTAAATTCGAATGTTTAAAATTTCCACACAAATTTCATAATAAAGCATCCCAATTTTATATTTAACTAGTTCTTCAACATAGTCAAGAAATTTATTTGTAAAAATTTTAATTAATTAACAAAAAGCATAAATACTGATTTTTCTATTTTTTAATTACTTGAAATACTTCATAATCTTCTACCTCAAAATTTGCTGGGATTCCTATTTTAGGATAACGATTCCCATTATCATAATCATTATAAGTCCAAACATGTTGATCACAGAATAAATTACCCATAGTTGGTCCATATCTAAGGCCACAAAAAACAGCCAAATTCTGTGTACTAACATAACTTCTTTTTGCAGTAGAAATATCTTTTCCATTTGTAAAATTAAATAAAAAACTATCTGCTGTAGTTTTCCAAATACAATTGCCCTTCCAATCAAGTGGATTGTACCCACCAATTAATTGTGTAGAATTTTTAATTTTTGCAATCCAAATAGTGGCTCCTTTATTATCACAATTTCTATGAAAAGATAAAGCATCATTTCCATCTTGACTTGAGCGGTATAATAATTTAAAGTCATAAGGGATATTTTTTCTATTGTTATGTGAAGAATCTTTTTTATCAATCCATGAAGCAAAAATGGGAACATGGTCTGATTCAATCAAAGTTGAATCAAGTTGATATTTAAAATTCGGTTTTCTTGGTGCTAAATTAGTTTTAGGTTTCATGTTAGGAACTACATAAAATTCTAAAAGATTATGAATTAAATCTTGTGGTAAGATATCTTTATAACAATAAACTTTATAGAAAAAATCTGTAGGTTCAATATCATAAAATCGAATTAAAGGAATAAATCTGTACAATGCCCTCTCAATCTTTGTAATATCTTCTTTATTCCATTTTGATGGTTCATTCTTCACATTTTGTTGAGAAAAACACCATTTTAACAAATTTTCCCAAATTTCAATTTCTTTCATATTTAAATCATCTCTTTTTAGCAATAAATCTAATAAAGGAGCTTTTAAATCAATAAATTTATCAGAATCAAATAAAACTTTAGGTTCTTCACAAATTTTTTCAAGACAAAAATTCCATAAATCTGTAAATGTTTCATGTTGATAAACAGTTTCAAGAATTCCAGTTGGATTTTGATATAAAAATTCAGTTTCGTGTTCAATCAAAAATTCTTGAATATGAGAAACTAAAGGATGAATATTAAGCTCATCAACTGCAATTAACAATTTTAATACATCAGGACCTTGTAAATTCTTTAATTCAATATTTCCACAATAAATAAATCTAATTTAAATAATATAATATTAATTAAACTTTCCTTTTATAATATATATTAATTTATTATAAACATTATAAATACCTAAGAATAATATTAAATAATTGTGGAGAAATATTTGGTTTTTTGAAAATAAATTTTCCATCTTTTTTCTCAGCCCATTCATTAGAAAAAGCAGAGCGAAAGTATTGAGACCTTATAGATAAAATATTTGAATGAGCATGAATTTCCTTAACATATTGCTCTTCACCAGCGTAAATAATAACATCATATCCAATTTCTGTCTCAAAAAGTTTTTCGTAATCGTTAGATAACTCTGCCCAAAATTTTGAAGACATTGTTTTTAATTTATAAACGTAGTAATAAGAATAAGCAAGAAATGCAGAAAATGCGGTAAAAAATTAAAAAATTTAAGTTTTGAGTACAAACCATTTTTATATTATTCTATGATGATCAATTTCTATAACCGGAAAGTTCAGGAATATGATTTTGCGATCATTTAATAAATTTCAAAGTTTAATTTATAAATGTTATGAGTTATGAAAATAGATTTATTTGCGGATTGTTTGATTGACTTACAGAAATAAATCTACTGGTCATATACTGCACTTCATAATTATCAATTGTATTACCTATATTATGAGGATCTTTGTAATTTTTACTGTAATACTGTTTACTTTGAGAAATAAAAGTAAAAAACATTAATCCAATTCAAATCGTCTAAGAATCCTATTAGTAAATCCCGTTAGTCAGCCTCCAGCTCTATAAAAAAGCGATATATTTTTAATAATGTTTTTATATGATTTTTTTTCATTTTTTTCATTAGAAATAACATGTATCATAATGGTCCGTTGATGGGGTACAGAAAAATGCACAATTATGTATTACTAAAATACAATTTGGATATGGAATTTGCATGGAACTTTGCAAAAATCCTGAAATTTTGTATTAGCATTTTAATATGCTAAATTAATTAAAAGCTATTAATATAATAGTCTATTAAAAGCATAATAAAGGAATCTATTATATAAAATTACAAATATAGCCTTAAAATAGGTCGTAATAAAGGTCTATAATAGTCAAATAATATTTTTTAAAATTTTGTTAAAATTTCATTATATTTATGCAAATATTATATTACGTTTATATTGCTAATATATGATTTTATAATTCTATATTTAGGATTATGTATAATTAAGGCTTTTCAGACGAAATAAAGTGCATTTATTATATCAAGCTTAATAATTATTCTATTATAAAGAATTTTCAAATATATATACTGTATAGTAATATAAAATTAATAAGATTATTTAATTAGTGAGTTTTATAATATTTATTTGCTGAAACCTCAGATTTAGCGACATTTAATGCTTCTAGCATGTGACTATCATGTGACTATAGGGTCGATCGTCCGGAAGCCTTAATTTTTTTTAATTTTAAATAATGACTACTTTTTTAAAAAAAAAATTTATCCTTTCACTTCAACTCAGCAATATAGAAGCAATAAGAATGTTAATACAATAATTTTTATTAATCCATTATTGGCTTTGCCATTTATCATAACATTAATTTATTAAAGTTTGTATAATTAAACGTAATTAAACATAAGATATATTGATATATATATATAGTTGGAGCTTACTTAAGAATCATAAACTTCGTAGCCACGCTCAATTAAGGCAATGTATTACTAGACCTACACTAAAGATGACTTTAGTGAGGCTTTCTTTGTGAATTAAAAGAAATTTCATACACTTTGACAGCTGGTGGGATAGCTTATGACCTTTAACCTCAAGTCTGTTCATACTAATAAATCCAGAATGTTTCTAATAAAAGTATACTTAAGGTACTTCAAAGAATCTCTAAAAAGAAAAAAATAAATAAATGAGCAATTAGTAAACATTCATCAATATAAAATAAAAAATAAATAAATACTTTCGTTTTTGTTTATAATCACATGATATCAATTGACACCTCCGACTTATACTGTTATAGCCAAATATAAGGGATATGATCGATATACCAAACGTCTAAATCCATCTAAAGAGCAAATATTCATCTAAAAAGTTTAAGCTTCTTACTCTAGTAGTTCCAAGAGGTGAAATGATTTAAAAGATATAATTGTAAAGAATGTGTAAAATAAACGTTTAAAATGTATAAAAATATATAATATTATGCAGAGCTCATAAAGAATAAAATGAGTTAATTAATTAAATTAAAGTAAATGATTCTATAAGTCGCAACTCGCAAGGCAAAATGTTTTGGCTTAACATTATATTTAGTATAATGTATTCTTTGACAAATAATATATACCATTATTTATATTAGATATATATATGTGTGTATATATATGAGCACATATATACATATCAATTAAAAATATAAAAGAAAAATTTGAATTTCGGGGAAAAGCTCCTATTTATATAAAATTATGTATCACGTGAATCACGTGATATTAAATTAGTAATTACCGCAGCTTTAGCTGCGGTATAGCAAAAAAAAAATTAAGCTTTTTTTGGTAAAGCTTAATTTTTTTTTCTTTTTATCACCTTTCGCTTCATCTTTCTTTCCTTTTGCCTCCCCTCTCTTTTACCCCTGTCTCTTATACACATCTAGATGTGTATAAGAGNAATTTTTTTTTTTGAAAATAATCCTTATAATAATATTTTTTTTAGAACTAAAAAATAAAAATAAAAAATTATCGAAATGATGATCATCTATATCTATATAATAAAAAAATTCATGTTGATCTTCTAACGTTTAGATTAGCCTGTATAAATAATTTTTGAATTGTGTACCGCATGATTTAGTGCCTGATTTAAACTTAAAAGTTAAGGCCATTTATTTGATCAGCAAACATATAGGTTTGTATGAATTTATTTGTCAAATCTATGTAATTATAAATCCGTAACAGAGTAAAGCAAGCTAATAACCTAACTATAAAATCAGTAGGTAGCAAGTTAGTGCTTTGATCCAGGTAGAAACCATTATCCGGATAAATTAAAAAAATTATCCGGTTTTTATCCGGATTATCCAGTTCTGATATAAATCTGGATATATCCAGATAGAAACCGAAACCCGGATAAGATTATATATAAAATTATTTTTCATTAATCGATCTTAACAAATAATATCAGTTGCATTAACTTAATTAAATTTTGACTTAATATTTTTAACTAAATTAGTGATATTTTATTAATTTTAAATAAAATAAATTTTAATTTTAGCTAGCACTACGAATTTTGCCTGAATTATGACAATTTTTTGAAAATTTGAAAAATGTAAAATTTTGCAATAAATACATTATTACAAATATAAAAAATACAGTAAAATTATAAAATAATGGAAGATTAGCATGAACTAATTATTTTTATTATATTTTTACTATTTTGTACTTAAAATTAATCAATTCAACCTATCTATTAGAAAAAAAAAAATCTTTTTTTTTAAATCATGTATCGACAGTAATTTGGGCCAAACATATAATTGCGGCCATAATTACAAAAATCCCAAATTTTGTTTAGCTGGTCTGGAAACTGCTGCCTCTTGACAAATATCAAGCAATTTCGCAAAATTCGGGCTGGCATTATAAATGGCCTGAATTATACTGACCATCGAATGTTCTACTAGTAATTTTAGTAAGATAGATTATGATTTTAATAAATGGTAATTTAATAGATAATAATGTCAATAAATATGTAATTTAAATGACAAAAAAAATTTTTTATAATTTTTTTTATCCGGATAACGGGTCAAACCAGATATTTTCTATCTAGATATTTATTCGGATAAAAACCGTGGTATCCGGATAGCTATTTTTTTTTCTGGATATCCGGATACCGCAGTTTTATCCATGCACGGATCAAAGCACTATAAAAGGGGGTGATGAAAAAAGAAAAAAAATAACAAAAATAAGACAAGAGAAAAGAGAAGGAAGGGAAAGATAGAAAGGAAGATCAGAAGATCAAACTCATCAAAGTAAGGGTTTATATATAAAAAACAAAAACGTATCATAACAAAACAATAAACAATCACGTGATCTCGTGTTATGATATGAGATTTTTGTAAAATTATTTTCTAAAAATATTAAGTTTAAAAATTCCGTATACATTTCGTATGATTAATTTTTTCTGTATATATTTCATATACATCAGTTTTTTTAAAAAATGTTCAAAAATGAATTGCTTATTAAATATACGGAATTTGTATACGGAATCTATAGAAACGTACATAAAATATATACAAAACGTATCCTTTCCATATACATATTTCTTATAGGGCACATTCTTGTTATACTTCTTGATTACTCAATCAATTTACAAAAGAACTTCCAAAACATAATGATACTTACAATATTTCAGCAGAAGTTACTGATTTTACTGATTTTACAGAGTATGTAACATTTACTTAAATTATTGTTTATTTTTATTGAAAATTTATTAAATTATTATAAATCATTTTATAGGTAGGTTATCAAACAAAAATGAAAAATAAGTCAATTAGAACATGCATTTGCACCAAATATGAAATACATTTTATGAAAGTTCATCTAAAAAAAAAGCAATAAATATAAAATATAAAAGGTGTAATACAATTATGAAAACTCATGTTCTAATTATGATTTGATACTAAACTCCTTATGTTAGCACGTAAACTCTTTCACAGGTTTGCTAAAATTTGCTATTGACTTATTTAAACACATAATAATTTTAAAATTATAAAAAATATTATTTTAATATGAAGAAATTTATTTTTATCAATTTATAAATCAATTTTAATTAATTTATTAACTAAAATGCACGAGTATAAATGAAGTTTATGGGAAGTATCTGAAATAGGTAAATTATATATGATTTCGATATTGTCATACAATTCATGCTGATTAATAGTGTGTAATATGTTTCCAGATATTTGTTTCACCTTTCATAAATTATATAGTCCTTCGCACTTGAAACCGGACCAGGTCCATTCCTTAAAAATGATTTAATATTTATAAATTTATTATGAACAAAAAAGTTCCTCACTAAATCTGTTGCAATGATTCAATTTGTGATGCTTCATTTAAAATTAAAGTCACAATTATCTAATAAAACTACTATTCAAGAATGTATGAACATTTTATCAATATTGTTCAAAGATATCAAAATAATAATATTTTTTTGGTAGATCGCATGACTGAAAATGAAAAATCATTAATAATACAAACTAAGTTTTTTTCATTAATTTGCAAAGAAAAATATTTCACTAAACTGTATTAGCAATGAAAATTTTAGAAATTCGACAGAAAGTACACAACTCTGGCAGCTAATTATTTATACAGACGATAATCTAAACGTGTCAGAGTTTTTTTGTATTTTATAGATGACACTTTGTTAATCATAACATCAAAAAATTACTTTTTTAAAAAATTGTGACATATTGTAAACCACTTGAAAACCTAGACTTTTATTTAATTATAAGTTTACCTCAGATTGCACAGTCTAAGCAATCAGTATTATCATCTGCATATTTTGGAAGGTCTTTTGTAAAAGGGTTAAGTAATCTAGATGTATAGATAGCTTCAGTATGAGTTATTGAATAGTTATTTTTACCTATTCTATCATTATTGTTTAATCTATATTCTTCTGCTTCCTTGAATTGGTCTTCATTATTTGAGTAAAATTGTTTAATGAGTTTTTCCACTTCAGCAACATTAGGCCTATTAATAGGATTTGAATCTAAACAATTCTTCATTAAATCAATATAGCACTTAGGTGCTTCTGGCTCATTTATTTCAGGCCTAATTCTTTTATTACATATATCTAATGCTAATAAATTATCATGAGCACAATTTGCAAATGGCTGTTTTTCAGTTGCTACAAAATACATAATCATTCCAAAGCTATATATATCCGCTGCTTTAGTATAAGGACTACCTCTTAATACTTCAGGAGCTACATAAGGCATAACTCCATAAATTTTTGTTTCGTCTATATTATCAACTTCTCCACATGAACCAGCATAGCGGACATGCTTTTATCACCTTGCCGATCATTTGTCGATCATATATATATATCATATCACTTCTACTTTGAAGCATCGGGTAAAGCCATAAATGCTCGGGCAAATTATACTAATTGTTTTTTTTTG